CAGCAAATGACATAACGGCTACATCACTGGACTCCCATGTAGTCAACCACGGTTCAAGTCCAGGACCCAGTGGCTTAAACTCACACTGGGCACATGTGCATGCATGCCTAAGATCCGAAGAGGAGAATGGAGGAGAAGGGACTGCCGTGCGGCCATCCCCCCTGGGGGGGGGTGATTTCTCACTCTCTGTCTCTCTGTTTTTCTGGTGAGTGCACAGGCCCTATACCAAAAACCTCTCCAAAAGAAAAGAAACGAAACCTGGGCAAATAGTACAGCCTCTCTGATGTTGGATTCATCCCTCTTTCACAAAGAATTAGGAGATTTACTTTTGTGTATTTCTTTGATAACCTTGAGGATTTTTGATTATGAGAACAATTGTTGAGATGGCGGAGTTTTAAAATCAGCACTTCACAGGACACGTGGATGGCAGGCCAAGAATAAAAACGTTTCCTGACATGGACATTTGCAACAAAGCAGAGCAAATTTACAAGCATATCCTTGAAATCAGAAGAAACAGAACCCCTAAAAGAGTTTCTAGTGAGGAGACACACTTCACATGCATTGCAGTTTGCTTTTATTCTGCCCTTATCGAAAGCACAGAGTAGGAAGATAGGATCTTTAAGAATATGGGTTCTGAAGGCAAAAGCGTAAACTGAAAAGCAAATAATGTCCATGTCAGGAAACATTTGTATACTCGGCCCGCCATCCAAGTGCTCTGTGAAGTGCCGATTTTGCCATAGGGCGGGCGCCACCACGCCCTGAAGTGCCGATTTTGAAGCTCACACATCTCAACCATTTTTGTTATCATCGAAAAATCCTCAAGGTTATCAAAGAGGTACACAAAAGTAAATCTCCAAGTTCTTTGTGAAAGAGGGGAGAATTCAGGATCAGGGAAGCCAGCCTGCTTCCTCATACTGGGTGGTCGGGAAGGTCATGACACATTTTCTCATAGAAAAATAGAGAACCACATGACTTTTCCAATGACCTAATGATTCTCAGCAAGAAGCCACTGTCGTGAGCCAGACCCCATGTCAATAAAATGCCGCACATAGGAGCCTGAGTTTACAGAGCAGAGCGGTCAGTCGCATTGCCAGTAGGTTCTGAGGAAGCTGGTGTGGAAAGATGACTATGCATCAACGCGGTGTTCAATGGGAAGAGAAAGAGGAGGTGAGCCCAGACGTGGCCAAGAGTCAGACAGCAAATGCCTTGGCTTCCCTTGCCCTGGTTTGAGTCTCCTGGGATTGAACTGAGGATCTGAATGCCAACTAGTGTTGAGGAAGTAAACCCATGAAGCACAGCTGACCTCACGGAGAGCCTCGGGAAGCCGTTATCTGTACAGGGACAGTGTGGTTGTGCCCACAGCTCCTGCTGTCACTTGTCTTAGGACTTACTTCATATTTTGAAGCTGAAGGGGGAAGTGTTGAGGCTGCCCACAAACTATATTCCATCTTAGTAACCACTCCCTATTCTTGCTCTACCATTACACCTCAGATCATCCTTCCTTTTTTGCTTTTTGCTCTATCAATTGGTCTCTTCACTTTGAAGGGTAGCTCCCGCTCAGATGAGATAGCCAAATTGCCTCATCATCTCAGAGAGGGTGTGATGTCGCTGGGCTCTTCCTGCCAAGTTTCAGGTTGTTTCTTCACTGGGACCCAGAAAAACTTAGGGTTCTGTGGTATACAATACCACTTTTTAGTTCAACACATTTGAAGTGAGCATTTACTGGGCTGGTCCTGTGGCTTGGTAGTTGAGGTGAGCTGGATCCCACATGGCTGACTGTAGTTTAAATTCGAGCCCCATTGGCTTGGAAAACACACCAGGGGCATGTTCATGCATGCCCCACACCCTGAAAGACGGAGAAGAAAGGACTGCAGTGTGATCACACTCTAAGGGGAGAAGTTGCTTTTATCCTCTCCTCTGAATTTCTCTAGTGAGCACACACATCCTCTGGCAATTAAAAGAAAAATGAACATTTACTGGGTGCAAAACCCTTAGAAATAGAAAGAAAATAGGATACAGACCCTTCATCAAAAAATAGTCTAGAGTCGTGCTGGCCAGTAGAAATATAATGTGAGCCATATATAAAGTTAAATTGTCTAATAGTCTCATTAAATAAGAGACAAAGAAATTTTATTCCAATGTATTTTACTTAACTCAATATATATACAGGATGTTATTTCAACATACGGTCAACATGAAGATTGTGAAGAAGATAACTTACATCCTATTTTTCATAGTAAGACATTGAAATCTAGTGGTTTGGTTTTGTTTGGTTTTGGCCATAGGGTGTGCGCACTCACTAGAGAGAAACAGAGACAGTGAGGGTTAAGTGAGAAATTACCCTCCAGGGGGAATAGCCTTGCCATAATCCCTTCTCCTCCAGTCTCCTTCTAGGACTTTGGGCTTGCTTGCATACATGCCCAAAATGATGTTCAAGCCTCTGGATCTGGGACTCCGTCTGTGGTCAATCGCGTGGGAGTCCAGCACCTTAGCCACCATGCCACCTGCTGGACCCTCTGGTGTGTATTTGACAGCTACTGCACATCTCAATTCGGAGTATACTTATTTCATAATGTTTAGTAGCACCTGTGACTAGTGGCTCCATTTTTGGACAGGAAGGGCAGAAATGGACACCATGCTACACAACAAGCCTTCTTGGGGAACAGGGCAGAACAGAGACATGATGGAGAGAGGGGTCAACTGTATAATGGAAGGGGAATGGACAGGAAAGCCTACAAAGAAGAGTGATGGTTGAGTGAAGCCTTAGAAATGAGCAGGTATTGTACACGAGAAGGTAATACAGCACACAGCGTAGTGCCTTGCACACAGTATAGTAAGCATCAATAAGCAAGAGCGTCCTTTCCCTGTACTCACTGGGATACTTGGGAAATACTTGTAGCCGCCTCTTCCTTTCTCTTTTAAACAGAAAATGTGCCACTTCCAACATTTTTCTTCCAGATTTGTTTGTGGAGAAAAAAATATAGTGGTTTTGCATTCTATGCCATGAGCGAAATGAGCAGAGCTCTGATAACCAGCCAAGCAAAGATGCCCAGAGATATGTCCCCAGAGTTATTCAAGTTGGCACACAAACAGAGGATGGAACTCAGAAAGGAGCAACGGAAATACCCCAGCACAAGGCAAGCGTGTGTGCCCACACACATGCAGCATAAGCCCAGAATCTTCCAAACCAGGGATCGAATTTGGGCAAATTTCTTGGCATTTGAACTTTCTCCTATTAAAATGGAGGTGGTCTTATATATTGTCTAGGTTCTAAAACTTTTTCGGAGATCAAATGGAACAATGTATGCATGGCCCAATTGAAATCATGGCCCACAAATTCTTTTACTGTGTGTGTGTGTGTGTGTGTGTATGTGTGTGTGTATATATAAACACACACATACATGCACACACCCGTAATTATTCATACAATCTAGAAGCCAGATTATGAATGGCTCAAACAAGGTTTCTTATTTATTCAGCAAGCATTGATCAAAAGCCTAGCATGTTCCTACCATAATATTTTTATTATCTTAGCAGCAAAAATAAGAAATGCATATCACATGCCCCCCAGGAACTCACAGTTTAATGCTGCAATAACAATCAAGTTTTATCTCTTATGCAAATGACAACTTATGGGTACAGCCTGCCTTAGCACTGTGGGCTTCTGTGGGCCGAGAAGTAAGGAGGATGTAATGGATGAAAATGGAGCAGGTGGAGAGAGCCATGCAGAAGTTACTATCTTCAGGCACGTCAGTGAACAGTTTCATGGGATGGGCCACCTACCTACTCTCTGATCCAGAGAAGAGAAAAGACTGACCAGAGGCAGGTTCCGTAGCAAGTGATAACGTGCTGCTCAAGAGTAAATGGATCCCACATGGCAACCTGGGTTCAAATCCCAGGCCCAGTCCCTCTAACACCATGCTGGACACGTTTTCAGAAGCCAATAGTCTGACCAGCTGAAGGATGTGGGAAAGGGGATTACAACATGGCTCTGTGGAGAGTGTCTGTCTTTCTCTCACACTCATGTATGCATGCATGTGCTCTATCAGGAATAAAGTCTTAACAACAAGTCTCCTTTTGGGCCAGCCTGTGACATGTGGTTAAGGCAGCTAGATCCCACATGACTGACCAGGCAGAGGGAGTTCCAGACTGGGCAGCTTGAAAAATATGCCAAGCACATGTGTGTGCATGTCCAAAATC